GCTGATTTGGGGCTCACATTCACTGGGGCTGGGATCCAGTGTGACCAAGCCTTCCCTAGGTTTTGTTTTTGTTTTATTTGTTTTTATTTTTTTTGAGACGGAGTGTCACTCTTACCCAGGCTGGAGTGCAGTGGCATGATCTTGGCTCACTGCAACCTCTCCCTCCCGGGTTCAAGCAATTCTTCTGCCTCAGCCACCAAAGTAGGTGGGATTACAGGTGCCTGCCACCACACCTGGCTAATTTTTGTATTTTAGTAGAGACGGGTTTTCACTTCTTGGCCAGGCTTGTCTCGAACTCCTGACCTCAGGTGATCTGCCCGCCTCAGCCTCCCAAAGTGTTGAAATTACAGGCGTGAGCCACCGTGCCTGGCCCTTCCCCAGGTTTTGGAAATGGAGGCTGGTCCAAGCGGCGAGGTCAGCGGGGAAGACCACTGGTCATGCATGGGGTACCTGTCTTTTGGAGCTCTTACCTCCCTGTTTTTTTTTGTCTTCGTGTGTGTTTGTGTGTGCTGTTCCTGGCACATTTATCCATCTCCACCTCTACCCTCCTCTCTCCACCTCTACCTTCTTGTCTCTCTTGGTCTCTTCTTCCCAACGTGGCTTACTGGAAAGGACCTGGGCTGCAACATCAGGCAGGCCTGGTTTATCCTTCCACCACTTACTGGCTGTGTAACCTTGGAAAGTTACATAGCTTCTCTGAGCTTTGGTTTCTTCATCAGTAAAATGCCCATCAGTAAAATCCCTTCTGGATCCGCATAGGGATAAAGTGAGCTAATGTAATTACAGAGGTAATCTGCGACATTGTCGGCCTCAGAAAAGGACTGTCTTTCTTGTATGTGGAGGAGCCGAGATTCATACCTAGACACTGACCCTTAGTCTGGTGCTCTCTGCTTCATAAAACCGCCTCTGCTGTAGGCTGGAGAAGCAGAATAGAGACTAGGAGCCCTTAGGCAGCTGGGAAAGGCCTGGCTGGCTCCAAGGAGCTTGTCCCCGTGGAGACTGTGTGGGTCCAGCTCCAGGCATCCCCTGGCCCTGCAGAGTGGCCATGAGTCTGGGCTGAGCCAGCAGTCTTCCTTTGGGGCCTCCGTGGGCTGGGTCCTATTTGCATGGGGGCTATAAATAGTCAGCACACCTTGCTTTTGTGCTGCTGCTTCACCCCCTCCTCCCTGCCATACACTCTGAGAGGTAGGGGGCAGACTCTGACTCTGCTGTGCAGAGCAGGGACTTGTGGCCCAGAGAGACCCAGGACCTCTCTCAGAGTCACACAGTGATGGAAGAAGATGTGGGGCTCTGGGTAGTACAAATAGGGGCAGAGGAGGTGGCAGAACCTGGCCAGAGCCCGTGCCCTGGTTTTAGTCCTAGGAGGTTGGGTCTGACCCTATGGTTACTGCTGGTTAGCCTTGGGGCAGCCCATGAAGACCATGGCTCCCCAGTTCTCATGGCGCTGCAGCCTGGCGGTGCAGGTTTAGGCTGGGGCCTGCTGTGGTTGTGGTTTTCCCTCCAGTGGCTTCTAACTGTGAGCAGCAGCTGCTCTGAGTGTGGCCTGAGAGAGCTGGAGGGCCATCCTCTGGTGGGAAGGTCCTGGGCTCTGCCTCACCCTCGTGGGGCTTCTCTGACCCACTGTCTCTTCCACCCTCCATGCAGTCCTGGGGTGGTCCCCACGCATACCTCCTGCTGGGCAGGCTGGGGGCAGGGGAAGCCATGGAGCCTATGGGCTGTCAGGGCTGGGCCCCAAGGGTTGGTGACTGGGAGGAGGACCTGGCTGGCGGATGTTGGAGCATCTGGTGCTCCTGAGTGAGTTGTATGTTCATGGAGACCTGATTTCCCTTTCTGAGCAGTGGGATCTGTAACCAAGGCTGTCTTCCCGGGCTGCTGGGCAGAGGGAATGGATGCGGTGGGGGATGCGAGTGCGCTTTGTAAACTGTGAAGGGAGGTGCACAGTGAGGGATGGATGCTGCAGTGAGAGGGGGTGACAGTGGTAAGAGGACCTCCCTCCCCAAGACCTGTTGGGTTGATTGTAGCCATGATCCTACATGAGTTTTCATTCTCACCACAACCCTGGGCCAAGAGACTCTTCCTCATCAGGAAATGGGAGGGCTGAGGCTCGGAAAGGCCAAGTGACCTGCACAGAGTCCACAGCCAAGGCAACGTTGGTGTCAGGGTGCAGCACCCAGGCAGTCTGGCCATCATTTTGCCACATTAGCTGCCCTGAGCCTCTCTCCTCTAGGAGTCCAGGCCACCTGCAACACACTTGCTCCTCCTTTATCTCTGCGCCCCTGTCCCCTCAACCCTCATCATCCTCCGAGGCACTCAGAAGTTGCTTACTGCTCCAGCTGGGTCTCCAGGTTTTCCTAACAGCAGAGCTGCATCTGCTGGATCAGGCCCTGGATGTGTGGACACAGACCTGCCAATCATTCCAGACCCAGGGAGTACTCACCTGGGTGCTGGATCTCTTGGACCCTCAGGGCCAAGCCAGGCAGCAAGAGGAGCAAGATGTCCGTCTTGCTTATGGGTTTGGGATGCTCAACCAGACTCCTGCATATGTGTGAGGCCAGGCCCACGTAGCTTGCTTTTCACTCCAATATTAACTGAGTGCCCACCATGTGCCACCCATTCCAATGGCTGCATATAATCGCATGTACCAGTAGACCCGTGCAACCTCACACACACCAATTCATGCATGCTGCAGCCTGGGGAGCAGTCAGCAGCAGCCCCCAGCTGGCCCTCTCTCTGTGGCCCACCAAGAGGTCATGGGCAGCTGGCCTGGCACACAGGCCACCTGCTGGTGTCAAGCTGAAGGCTTTGGGACTTGGGCACATGCATGAGCTTGCACACCCACTCTCACATCCACTGAGTAGGAGCCAAGGCCGAGCAGGGGATGTGGTGGGGTCTGCCCGCCTGGGTCCTGCTCTCTGCTCTGGCAGCTGCTGGCCTCAGAGGGCTACCTGGACTCACTGGGCTGGGCTGCAGGGTGAGGTCAGCATTTGCTGTGAGCTCATCTGAGCTAGGAGCTCCCAGCAGATCTGGCCGCTGCTCTGGCCACCTTGTACAGGAGCTGGAGGAAGTCATCTGGGGCTGGGCAGCTGTTGTGTGTGCATGCACACGTGTGTGTCTGAGTGAGCCCCTGTGTGCTGGCTTATGTTCAGGATGGAGTGAATACACGTGTGTGTGCACAAAATCGAGTGAGCGCTCCCTCAACCAAGGCTATGGAGCAGCCTTGTGGGGCCTGGGCAGAAGCCAGTGTGCACATAGGTGCTTACACACCTGAGTGTCCTTCACAAGTGGCAACCTGAGGAGCCCCTTGGGGTCACTTACTATAATGAACATTAACTTAGAGAATGGTGAGAAACCCAGGAGTGTGGGAGCTGCTGTGTGTGAATCTGCAAGGCACATTCAGCGTTACATTGAACATTAAAATACAGTTTGGGTTTTTTTTTTTCGGAGGCAGAGTCTCCCTCTGTTGCCCAGGCTGGAGTGCAATGGCGTAGTGTCAGCTCACTGCAATCTCTGCCTCCCAGGTTCAAGCCATTCTCCTGTCCTCAGCCTCCCAAATAGCTGGGATTACAGGCATGCGCCACCACACCAGGCTAGGTTTTGTATTTTTAGTAGAGACGGGGTTTCACCATGTTGGCCAGGCTGGTCTCAAACTCCTGAACTCAGGTGACCTGCCCGCCTTGGCCTCCCAAAGTGCTGAGATTACAGGCATGAGCCACCGCGCCTGGGCAGTTGGGTTTTTTTTTAAGAGATAGGGTCCCACTCTGCTGCCCATGCTGGAGTGCACTGGCACGATCATGGCTGCCTTGAACTGTTGGCCTCAAGTGATCCTCTTACCTTGGCCTCCTGAAGTACCAAGATTATGGGAGTGAGCCACCATGCCCACCTGTTTTATATTTGGGGAAATAATTAGTTTGAAGGTGCAGGCAACTTTCCAGGCAGGCGAGAGGCACTTGACCCCAAGGGATCAAGTTAGAAGGGTCAGGCACACTGATGTAGGCAGAGCCTCTGATTGCCCTGATCCCTGAACAAAGTGGGTGCCAAGTTAGTGGAATGTCAGCTTTTGGTTCTGATTCTGCCTTAGAATTTCAGTTTCCCATTTGAAAAGTGGGGGTGTTTATCTTGGCCCTGCTTGTCTGCCTGGGTGGTTATGAAGAAAAAACCCCAAACTTAGAAAATCACAAAGGGCTGCATGGGGCAGGATGGGAAAAAGAGGCGGCTCTGTCCTGTCCCCTTACCAGATAACAATGGCACATACCAGGTGCCTGGCATGGAGTAGGTGCCCAGCAGTAGGGTACTTAGGGAGGCACTGAGTGACTCCCCAAATGAATATCTTGGGGTGACAGATGCAAATGCCACCAGGGCCCAGGTAGGTTTTGAGGAGGAGTGAAGGGAGTGCCCTTGGCCTGGGGTAGATTGATGGAGGGCAGCCATCCCATTGCTAGTTGGCTGTTGCCCAGTGGGTCCAACGTCACATTTTCCAGTTTTACCAGAGACGCCACAAATCCAGACTTACATAAACCTCTCAATTTTTTTCTTTTCTTTTCTTTTTTTTTTTTTTTTTTGGGATAGAGTTTGGCTCTTGTCACCCAGACTGGAGTGTAGTGGTGCGATCTCGGCTCACTGCAACCTCGGCCTCCCGGGTTCAAGTGATTCTCCTGCCTCAGCCTCCCAGATAGCTGGGATTACGGGCATGCACCACCACACCCAGCTAATTTTCAGTAGAGGCGGCTTTTCATCATGTTGGTCAGGCTGGTCTCGAACTCCTGACCTCAGGCCATCTGCCTACCTTGGCCTCCCAAAGTGCTGGGATTACAGGCGTGAGCCACTGCACCCGGCAAACCTCTCAGTTTTTAACACTGGCAACTGAGACTAGTGTATATATGCACCATGTGGGCCAAATCCAATCGTGGGAGAGCCCTGGGGGAGTGGGTCCCTGAGTGCTGCCTGTGACTGTTCCCACTAGTCCTGCCCGGCCGCCTGGCCTCATCCCTCTGTGTGCACAGGCCCACTGCAGGCCCTGCCATGGCGCCATTCCTGCGCATCGCCTTCAACTCCTACGAGCTGGGCTCCCTGCAGGCTGAGGACGAGGCGAACCAGCCCTTCTGTGCCGTGAAGATGAAGGAGGCGCTTAGCACAGGTAGGCCTGGAGGCTGGACCCTGGAGAGGGGCTGGGAATCTGGGCCCAGCTGGAGGGACTGGAGGGGGCCTGGCCTTGTTCCCTACAACCTCTGAAGGATTCTGCTCTTCCTCATCCTTGGCTCCCTGCCCCGTTCAGCTATGAAGGCAGAGGCCACTGAGTCTCTATAGGGCTGCAAACATTGGCCAAATTGAGCCCTCCTTGGAAGGCTTGGAGTTTCTGGCTCGTCCTCCACTGGTTGTTTTACCCAACAATTTTTACATGTCCATCTGTGCCAGGGCCTGTGCTGGGCACTGAGGATACTGTCATGCTCCAGGACTGACCTGGCCCTGCCCTCATGGGGTTCATAGTCAGGTGGGGAAACCAGGCATGTCACAAAGCAGTGAGTCCTGCAATAGGGAAGCCCAGAGAAGGCACCCTCTGAACCTGAGGTCAGGGAGGACTTCCTGGAGGAAGCACATACCTCACACCATTCCCTCTTGCTTTTGCCCTGGCCTGGTGAACCCCTAGTTGTCCCTCAGGTCTCAGCTGAACTGTCCCTTCCTCTAGGAAATCTTCCCTGACCCTTAGGCTTGACCCTGTGGCCACTTGACCATAGGCAAGTCTAGCACTAGCAGCCTTACCCTCTTCAGTCTCATCACAGCTGTGACTTAACAGTTACTTGAGGAAGGAGTTGGTGCATTCGCCACCCAGGCCTGGGGATCCAGGAGGACAGGCCCCGGATGTAGCTTTTCTTTCAGCTGTGTTCCACACCTCGAATATTATGGCTGGCATGCAGGAGCTGTCAGCCCATGTTCCCTGAGTGAATGCATAAGGGCAGGCGACATTTAAATGGAGCTGGAGCAAGAGGGACACAGGAAGAGGGACCAGCAGGAACAAAGGCCTGGAGGGAGGACCTAGCAGGGTGCCTGAGACAGTTCTGTGCTCTAGAGGACACTGGGGGACCACAGCAGGCCCTCAGGGCAGGAGAGTCAGGCAGATTCTGCCAGGGGAAGGCCATGGAGATCCAGGAGGGAGGGACAGAGGGGCCCTGACCCAACCTTCCCTGCCTGGCCTTGTTGCAGAGCGTGGGAAAACACTGGTGCAGAAGAAACCGACCATGTATCCTGAGTGGAAGTCGACATTCGATGCCCACATCTATGAGGGTCGCGTCATCCAGATCGTGCTAATGCGGGCAGCCGAGGAGCCAGTGTCTGAGGTGACCGTGGGTGTGTCGGTGCTGGCCGAGCGCTGCAAGAAGAACAACGGCAAGGCTGAGTTCTGGGTGAGGGGCGCACGAGCCGCGCCGTGTGTGTGTGTGTGTGTGTGTGTGTGTGTGTGTGCACGCGCGCGCGCGCACACACCTGCATCAGTGTGTGGGCTCAGTTAGTGAGCACAGCTGAAGGGCACCAGGCCCTGTGCTGGCCACCAGTCCAGCCCTGTGGCCAATGTGGCCTAGGTGTGAATCCTGGCTCTGCAATTCACCAGATTCCCAGCCTCTCTGAGCTTCTGCTTCCACATCTGTTAAGGGAGGGCGCTACTAAATGTGCCTACCTCAGGGTCAGTTGTTCAAATGAAAGGAGCAGCTGGATGTACAGGGCTTATTGCAGAACCTGACACATAGCAGGTGCTGAAGACAGCCAACTTCCTTATTGTGACTACTTTTTCCTTTTTAATTTTGGAAAGGCAGGATATGCACATAGTAAAACATTTTTAACTGCACGAAAGGGTGTGTCCCTGCCCCAAAACCAGGCCACCAGGCCTCCTTCCCAGAGGCACCCATTATTCCAGTTCTTTTTGGAATCTTCGCATATATTCTAGACCTTGGCAGCCATTGAGGAGGCAACATAGTGACCTTTAACAGCAAGGAGGTGGGAGAAGGGGAGGCTTACGGTCTCATCTACTTACCTGCTGAAATGGAGACTCAGCACAAGCAAGTGGCCACCCAGCCATGTGCAGCTGTGTGTTCTGGGTGGCCACAGGATGCCAGCACTGGCAGAAGTCCCCTGGGGTTACATGTGGGATGTAACCAAGATGTCTCCACCACGAAAGGCCCTGTGACCACTGGAGACTCTGATCAGCCTCCTGCGAGGGGTGAGGGGGCTGGGATGGGAGAGAGGTTGACACAGGGCTGTACTGACCCTTGGCCAGTCAGGCAGAGACACAGAGGGGCCTCTGGCTATGCTGTCTCCACTCCCTCAAGGGAGGATATCAGTCACCAGGTCTGGGTCTTGGGGGAGGTGAGGGGGTAGAGGCTCAGGTCCCACCCTCAAGACTGTCCAGTCTGCATGAGGAGCCCTCGGCACAGACGGAGGGGCAGCGTGTGTGCACGAGGATGAGTGTGTCTGTCTCTCTCCACATGTGCACATGGGTGGGGGCCTCCATTCTAAGATCCTTGCTAAGGGGGCCGCCGTGGGTAGGGGTGGGGAATTTCCCTCCCGGCTCTGTTCCCCAGCTATGTGTCTGGGCTGGGTGTGGGCTGGACCCTTTCACTTCCCTAAATGTAATAATACCCCTGGGTACAGTGTGGGGGTGGGGCTCAGGGGTGGGGCTCAGGCAGGGCCTTGCCCACACTGGGCAGACAAGTGTCTGGCTAGGCCTTGGGGGGCTGCCTTGGCCTTGAGGGACCAGCCATGGGGGCGGGTTCTGAGTTTGGCCTGGCCCAGGCCGCCCTCACTGACCTTGTTCTCCCCTGGCCTCTGGCCCCCAACAGCTGGACCTGCAGCCTCAGGCCAAGGTGTTGATGTCTGTTCAGTATTTCCTGGAGGACGTGGGTAAGAACTCCCTGGGGATGGAGGGGGCTCCTTTGCCTGGTTCAGAGGCAGAGCCAGCACTGAGGTGTAGGGAAGCGGCTCCCTTCGGCAGACTGTCCAGGGCCACCCTGGGAGGGAGTGCAGGGGTGCCACCTCTCCCAGATACCAGGGCTGACTTCCCCACTCCATGGTCCCCAGATTGCAAACAGTCTATGCGCAGTGAGGACGAGGCCAAGTTCCCAACGATGAACCGCCGCGGAGCCATCAAACAGGCCAAAATCCACTACATCAAGAACCATGAGTTTATCGCCACCTTCTTTGGGCAACCCACCTTCTGTTCTGTGTGCAAAGACTTTGTCTGGTGAGAACTGGCCATGCCCACTGGTGGTGGTGCAGGGTAGTGGGGGCCGATCCCAGTCCCCACTCACTCACTTTGCCTGGGTTTTGCCTTTCAGGGGCCTCAACAAGCAAGGCTACAAATGCAGGCGTAAGTGTCTCCACAGGCCGGTTTGTACGTATGTACCCGTGTGTGCTCATGTGTGCCAGTGCCTGTGTGTGTGCCGGTGCCTGTGTGCGCTCAGAGAGTGTATGCACGTGAATTTTCCCAGTGTAGACACAGCAGCTGAGTTCAGTGAGTGCTGGGGCTGGCTTGCTGCTGCTCTGGAAAACCAGTTCTGCGCCTCTCTTCCCAGCTGCGTATTCAGTGACTGGGAGTTGGTGGATGGCAATTGGGCACAGTAGAGTATTCATGCAGAAACCAGCCCAGGCCATGCGCCAGGCCTCTTTTCCCTGGAGATGCAGTGATAGGACCTGTACTAGTGCACAGTGGCTGCATGTGCGTCTGTGTAGATGTGGGTGTCTCTGAGCACACAGGTGTGAGCGCACTCTCTCCCTGAGGGTGCATGCATGAGGCGCCGCAGGCTGGAGCCAGACTGCCTGGGTTTGAATCCTAGCTCTACCACTTCCTAGCTATAGGGCATTAGGCAAAGTTACTTAACCTCTCTGTGCCTCAGTTTCCTGATCTATAATTTTTTTTTTTTTTGAGACTGAGTCTCATTCTGTTGCCCAAGCTGGAGTGCAGTTGCGTGATCTCAGCTCACTGTAACCTCCCTCTCCTAGGTTCAAGCAATTCTCTTGCCTCAGCCTCCCGAGTAGCTGGGATTACAGGCGTGCACCACCATGCCTGGCTAGTTTTTGTATTTTTAGTAGAAATGGGGGTTTTGTCATGTTGGCCAGGCTGGTCTCGAACTCCTGACCTCAAGTGACGTACCCATCTCAGCCTCCCAAAGTGCTGGGGTTACAGGCGTGAGCTATTGTGCCTGGCCCTCATCTATAAATTAGATATAACTATAATGTATAATAGGGTCATTGTGAAGATCAAATGGAGTAAGATATGTAAGGCTGTATTTTAAGTGCCTTCCGCTGGCAGTCGTTCTGTGTAAGAAGTTTGTTATCATTATTACACGTGCTTTGTGTATATGTACAGGTGTCTGTTTTGGGGTGTGTCCGTGTGCATGTGTGAGAGAGGGCATTTAGGAGCTGTTTGCTATCCCAGGGCTTGGAAGAGGGAAAGAACTGCCCCCACTTCTCATATTGCGATGCCCCGTGCCCCCTAACTTCTGCCCACCTCCCTGCCCACTAGGACTCCTTCATTTCTAAGCCCCTGCAGATTGGCCTGTCCTCTCCACCCCGTCCTCTCCAGGCCCCTCCTTCGAGGGCTGGCGGGAGGAAGACTCAAGCGCTGGGCCTCTGTGGGGTGAGGGTGTGGGTGGTCAGGAGAACGGTGGCTTTGTGTAGAGGGCTGGACTGACCGGCAGGCACCAGCTCATAGACTCTGCCCCTCCCGGTGCCCTCCCTTCCCCCTTCTGGGCCTGTGCCTCTTCAAGAATGTAACGCCGCCATCCACAAGAAATGCATCGACAAGATCATCGGCAGATGCACTGGCACTGCGGCCAACAGCCGGGACACCATAGTGAGCCTGGGGCTGGGGCAGGGCTGGGATCGGGGGCTTAGCCACATGGGAGAGATTTACACCCTCTCCCTGCCCTCCGGGGATAGCTTACCCTCCCTCCCCATTTTTCTTAGTCTTTCCTTGCCTCTCCCAGTGGAGCTCTCTTGGGATGTTGTGCCCAGGGTTGGGGGAGTGCTAGGGGCTGAAGAAGGGGCTGGAGCTGGCACTTGACCCTCAGCCTGTGATACCCCCACCCCCAGTTCCAGAAAGAACGCTTCAACATCGACATGCCGCACCGCTTCAAGGTTCACAACTACATGAGCCCCACCTTCTGTGACCACTGCGGCAGCCTGCTCTGGGGACTGGTGAAGCAAGGATTAAAGTGTGAAGGTGCGTGCCACCCCGCCCCTGGGCTGCAGGAGGGGCACTCCCAGCTGGTGCTGCTGTGAATTCCAGCCACCTGACACCGCCCTCGCTCCCTCACCTAGAGACGGGCACCTCATTCAGGGACCTGATGAGGGTGAGGCCTTGGTGGACCCTCCCCACTGGCCTGACTGGCTCTGCCACTTACCTGCTGTGTGACCACAGGTGGGTGGCTCCACCCCTCTGAGCCATTTGGAGGGGAAAAGCAGGACCTAGAGAGTCCCTATTAGGGGCCAGTGAGCAGAGGATGCTGAAGCCAGGCGTGGTGCACACCGGCAGGTGCCCAGACACGCCTCCACTGCCCTCTGCTTCACTTAGAGATGAGACAGAAGACCCTGGAGGGAAAGTGGCTTAAGTTGACCCAGATGTTCTTTGAAGGGTTTTCAATTAGGTCCCATGTCTTCTGGTTTTTCCTTTTTCTTTAAATCATGAAAGATTGGCCGGGCACGGTGGCTCACGCCTGTATTCCCAGCACTTTGGGAGGCCGAGGTGGGCGGATCTTGAGGTCAGGAGATTGAGACCGTCCTGGCTAACATGGTGAAACCCCGTCTCTACTAAAAAAAATACAAAAAAATACAAAAAAATTAGCCAGGTATGGTGGCAGGTGCCTGTAGTCCCAGCTACTCGGAAGGCTGAGGCAGGAGAATGCCACAAATCCGGGGAGGCAGAGCTTGCAGTGAGCCGAGATCACGCCACTGCACTCCAGCCTGGGTGACAGAGGGAGACTCCATCTCAAAAAAAAAAAAAAACATGAAAGATTGAGGTGCTTGGCCAGGCGTGGTGCCTCACACCTGTAATCCCCGCACTTTGGGAGGCCAAGGTGGGTGGATCACTTGAGGTTGGGAGTTCGAGACCAGCCTGGCCAACATGGAGAAACCCCATCTCTACTAAAAATACAAAATTAGCCGGGTGTGGTGATGCATGCCTGTAATCCCAGCTACTCAGGAGGCTGAGGCAGGAGAATCAGTTGAACCCAGGAGGCAGAGGTTGTGGTGAGCCGAGATCACGCCATTGCACTCCAGCCTGGGCAACAAGAGGGAAACTCCATCTCAAAAAAAAAAAAAAGAGAGATTGAAGTATATATGATGGCTTCAGATCAATGTTTTCCTAAAAACTGGAACCCAGCAGACCCCGCTAAAGCCCTCCTTTCTCATGCTCTCCTGCCCCTCTCCTACACTGCCCCCTGCCCTTGGCTGAGCTCCAGGACTGACAGCCCCACTTCTCCCTCACCCCAGACTGCGGCATGAATGTGCACCATAAATGCCGGGAGAAGGTGGCCAACCTCTGCGGCATCAACCAGAAGCTCTTGGCCGAGGCCTTGAACCAAGTCACCCAGGTGGGCAGATGCTATGGGGACCCTGGACACAGGGCAGTGGGGTCAGGGACAGTCAAGGCTCACAGCCACTGCTGGGGAGCCACAGACAGCCAGGGTATATTTAGACCCAGGACTCTACTTTGGGAAGATCCAACTCAAGAATTTAGGCAGCAGAGGAAGGGGGCCTTTTTTTCATGAGAAATTCATTATTCAAGCAGTTCTTTCCTTGAGGGTAAACCTGGGGACCACAGGATTGGGTGTTGGAACACTTTGAACTTAGACTTTGGGTGTGGACGTTTGTACATGGGTGGGGCTTGAGGGATGCCACAAAACCTAAAGGTAAAATTTTAGAATCAATCAGAAATGAAGCTAAATAGTCAAATAAAATCTATTGAGTGAGTGGTTGGGAAGGTAGGGTTCCGTTTACAAAACTTCTGTTCGTAATCAGAGCCTTTCAGACCACTGAGGCTTCTCTGGGCTCCGGGAAGAGTGTGCGTGTGTACGTGCAGCCCGAGTAGGAGGCCTGAGCTGTGCCCCTGTTGTCTCCTCTTGGTATTGAGGGTGGAGTTATACCTGGGGGTCTTCCTTCTGGGCTAGGGGTTCTGATAATGGTCTGACCATCTGGCCCCCCACCTCTGCTCCCTCCCCAGAGAGCCTCCCGGAGATCAGACTCGGCCTCCTCAGAGCCTGTTGGGATATACCAGGGTTTCGAGAAGAAGACCGGAGTCGCTGGGGAGGACTCGCAAGGTGAAGCTGGGTCCATTGGCCCTGTACAGTTTGTATTCCCCCTGAGGCCAAAGAAAGGGGACTGTCCTTCCTTCCGTTGTCAAGTGAGACATGGGAGGAACCCCCGGCCCTGGGGAGTGAGCCTCTTCCTCTCTGAGACCCCTTCCCCCAGCCTACCCCGGGCCCTGGGGAGGGGAGTTGTGTAGACTGAGACCCCGGTCTGAGGAGGTGCCGTCTCTTGGGCAGACAACAGTGGGACCTACGGCAAGATCTGGGAGGGCAGCAGCAAGTGCAACATCAACAACTTCATCTTCCACAAGGTCCTGGGCAAAGGCAGCTTCGGGAAGGTGAGGGCTGTGAGCCGGGCACCTGCTTCCCACCTCACCCTGGCTGCTTCCCACTTAGGTGGCTGAGGCGGGAGTCTGAATTGGGCTGTGGCCCCTGCCCCGTCCTCCCCTGGTCAGCACCCGTGCCTCCCCATCAGGTGCTGCTTGGAGAGCTGAAGGGCAGAGGAGAGTACTTTGCCGTCAAGGCCCTCAAGAAGGATGTAGTCCTGATCGACGACGACGTGGAATGCACCATGGTTGAGAAGCGGGTGCTGACGCTCGCCGCAGAAAATCCCTTTCTCACCCACCTCATCTGCACCTTCCAGACCAAGGTGCCTGGGCCTCCTGCCGTCACCGCCCCATGCCACAGCCATGTCCCACAGCCCCTCAGCCCCTCTAAGTCAGGGCTGTGTCTCCCCCTCAGGCCACTTAAAGCAGGGCCATGCTTTCCCCCTCATGCCTCCCAGGGCAGAGTTGTCCCCCTCAGCCAGGGCCTGTCCCTGCTGTTTCCTGTTGGGGATTGGCCCCAGTGGCCCTGAGTGAGGGAGCCTCCTGCCTGTTCCTCACCCCTGCTCACCACCCTCCCCACCCCAGGACCACCTGTTCTTTGTGATGGAGTTCCTCAACGGGGGGGACCTGATGTACCACATCCAGGACAAAGGCCGCTTTGAACTCTACCGTGCCACGTATGTGAGGGACATGGTGGGGAAGGGCCCAGCATGGAGGAAGGGCCACTGGCTCAGAACCCACTGCCAGTCTGCCCTCCATGCCTTCTTCCCTCTCCCTAGAAAAGCCAGCCTGGGCTAGAGCAGCAGCTGGGGAGATGTGGGGGTAGCCTGGGTCCACAACACACAGGAAGCCATGGGTGGCAAGTGAGCTGCGGCTGGGGGCTCAGTGCAAATACTCTGGGTCCTGGCCCCTCTGCGGGCCACAGCCAGGGCAGCCTTGCAAATGGTGGTCTTACATGACACAGGACACCGGACCCTGGTGCATGGCCCCCAGACCTGCTTTTCCCCATTCACATGCTCTCCCACCCCAAACTAACCGTGTGTGTGTGCATGCATGCAAACACATGTGTACATGCATATAAATGCATACACTCTTAGAGAACTGGCTCACTGAGAGCTTTCCCTTCAGAACTTTCTGCCTGGGCTACCAGCCCCCACTTACCTGATACAAGATGTACTTGATCATGCTTAGGTTGTCCGTGGAGTTATTTGCAGCATTTCTTGCCCCTGGAAGTGGGGATGAGGGCCCGAGGAGAAGCAGAGGCTGCTCGGCAGAGATCCTAGAACACTTTGTCTCTCTCTCTTGCCCAGGTTTTATGCAGCTGAGATAATCTGTGGACTGCAGTTTCTACACAGCAAGGGCATCATTTACAGGTGCAGGGGTTAGGGCAGCGGGGGGCTCTTGGGAGGGGAGGCTCCAGCCCCATCATATCTTCTGAAATGCTGCAAGCAGGATTCCCCCAACTCCAGTTCCTTCTCTGCTGGAAATCAATCTTTAGCTGGGGATTTGCCTAAATCTCCCACCCTGGTGCGAGCATTCCTGTGGCCCCCATTTGAGGCTGGCTTAGCTCCAGGAACTAGGAACTCACTGCCCATATTTGACACCATCGCCCCGCCCATCCTTGGAGCCATCAGTCTCACTCGGAAGACCCATCGAGCCATCTAAGCTTCCACTAGAAGAGACTGGTTCCATAAAGTCTCATCTAATAAGTTATGATTCTATCCTATGGTAGAAACTGTACACCCACCAAAAAGGCTGCGGCCAGGCTCTGTGTACTGACGTGGGATAATGCCAAGACACACTGTTAAATGGAAAACCAACCTGTGGGAGAGTGTGTATCGAATATTAGCATTCAGGCTTTAAAACGTGGGAGAGAGGCTGGGTGCGATGGCTCATGCCTGTAATCCCAGCAATTTGGGAGGCCGAGGTGGATGGATCACCTGAGGTCACGAGTTTGAGACCAGCCTGACCAACACGGTGAAACCCTGTCTCTACTAAAAAATACAAAAATTAGCTGGGCATGGTGGTGGATGCCTGTAATCTCAGCTACTCAGGAGGCTGAGGCAGGAGAATTGCTTGAACCCGGGAGGCAGAGGTTGCAGTGAGCCAAGATTGCACCACTGCATTCCAGCCTGGGTGACACAGCCAGACTCCATCTCAAAAAAAAAAAAAAAAAAAAAAAAAAGTGGGAGCAAGCTGCATGCTGCCATATGCTTGTCCACGCCTAGAATTGCTCTAAGGAGAGCCTGGTGATTGAGCTCAGTGGAAGGCAGACTTTGTACTGTTTGCCATTTCTAGTTCCCATATGCATAAAGTATCTACTCAAATGACTAATTACTAAATATAGACATGGTCCCCACCTTTGGGGGGTAGACAAAACTGAACCTGGGGATCACTTCTGCTGCCGACTGCTAGGGGCCCCTGGACAAGTGACATCACCTGTTTGAGCCCCATTTGGGTTTCAGGAAGTAGGGCGGTGTGTGCCCAGCGTTTAGCACACAGTAGGGGACTTGCAGGAAGCACCTGTTTTTAGGATCTCTTTCTCCTGCTTCCTTTTCTCTTTCTCATTCCCTTGTACTCTTGGGGACAGTCCTGGACTAATATGGCTGAAAATTAGGACATGGCGGGCAGGGTGGGGAAGGAGAAGAAATGGCCCCTGCTGACTCTTACCTGTCCCCTGTCCTTAGGGACCTCAAACTGGACAATGTGCTGCTGGACCGGGATGGCCATATCAAGATTGCCGACTTTGGGATGTGCAAAGAGAATATATTCGGGGAGAACCGGGCCAGCACCTTCTGCGGCACTCCTGACTATATCGCCCCTGAGGTGAGCTGATACTCTTCCATACCCCCGCTCAGTCAGGCACCTTGCCTCCCCACGGTGGGCGGAGGAAGGCTTCCCAAGGGCAGTGAGGTCCAAGCCAAAGCCCATAGGCTGAGGTGGCCTGGCTAGGGCTCGTGCCCAGGGGCCCCTCTCAGCCCCAGCACCTCAGCTCCTGCTGACCTGCTCCCCCTCAGATCCTACAGGGCCTGAAGTACACATTCTCAGTGGACTGGTGGTCTTTCGGGGTCCTTCTGTATGAGATGCTCATTGGCCAGTCCCCCTTCCATGGTGATGATGAGGATGAACTCTTCGAGTCCATCCGTGTGGACACACCGCATTATCCCCGCTGGATCACCAAGGAGTCCAAGGACATCCTGGAGAAGGTGCAGGCCCTGGGCTGGGCTGGGCTGGGCTGGGGCAGGGGCAGGGGCTGGCAGACACTGGGCTTTGGGTGAGGAGCTTCCTGTCTCTGGAATGGCAGCCTCAGTGGTGCCACAGTCCTAACATACAGGGTATTGCTCTCTCACCATGTTCCCAGGAACTCCTGTCGAGTCCTGTGCATGGAATCAGCCTGACATGGTGACTAAGGGCCCAGGGTCAGGAGACAGACAGACCCGAGGCCAAACGCTGGCTCTGCTTGGGACTAGCTGGTCACAACCTCTTAGAGTTTGTCTCCTTATCTGCAAAATGAGGCTATGAGCAGTCTTGCCTCACAGAGTTGTTGGGAAGAAAATAGAAACATACGATGCTCAGCTGTCGGCCAGGCAGATAGTAAATAATAAAAAGTCCCATTAGCAAAGTCGTGGATGTCCAGCCCAGAGCCTGTCATCTCTGGGGAAACTGGGAGCACTGCATGCCAGAGTGGCCTCCCTCAGCCCCACTGTTCCCCAGGCTGACTGCGGGGCTGGGGCAAGCCTGGCTTTGCATCCCTGGGCCTGCTGGGGATTTGCTGAAGCTCCAATTTCCCATGGCCCTCGGGTGCTAACCTGGGTTGCTGGGTTGCAGCTCTTTGAAAGAGAACCGACCAAGAGGCTGGGAGTGACCGGAAACATCAAAATCCACCCCTTCTTCAAGACCATAAACTGGACTCTGCTGGAAAAGCGGAGGTTGGAGCCACCCTTCAGGCCCAAAGTGGTACGTGATCCTGCCCTGCACTGTCTTCGGGCTGGGCTCCTCCTCCTCTGCCCTCCCTCTCTCCTACATCTCTCACACGCTTTCCACCTCTCCCTTCTTCCAGCAAGTCTACTTCCCCGAGCTCCACAGCATGTTCAGTCACAGCTGCTGCCCTTGTATTCTCATCCTCTCCCTCCTGACTCAGTCAGCACACACTGGGGATTGTGGATCCCACTGTATGCACAGGACCCTGTTTTGGGAAATAGAGTTAAAACCTCATGTTATTACTCCATTCAATCCATTCTCCAATACATATGGGGAGTCCCGGGTCCCTGTTGAATGCAGAGCACAGTGCTTGGCTGCACAGCAAAGTGGGAGACACAGTCCCAGAACCGGAGGAGTTTGCAGCTAGTTGGAGAGATAAGAAACTTGCACACCGATGACAATTTGTGATACGAGATGACAGCCTAAGAGATACCCCAGGACACATGATCAGTTGCTATTGAGTGGGTCTGTCAGCAGGAGCCCAGGCGGCAGAGAAGAGGGTGGGTCAGAGAGGCCCCCTTGGAAGAAGTGAGACTAGCAGGGCTGGGAGGTCTGAGAGGCTCCCTTGGAAGAAGTGAGACAAGGGACAGCTGGGAGGCATTCCAGGTGGAAGAGGGGATGGTTCACTCAAAGGCCCAGAATCTACAGGGCCACCAAGGAACCAGCCTGAGAGCAGAGGCAAGTGTGGCCCCTCTGTGACCACAGTTCTTCCTTCCCACTCCCTTTGTCTCCTTTGATTCCCCTCCTCCACCAGGGCACACAGTTCCCACTGGGCAGCCTGTGTAATGCACCCCACATTTGTGCTTTGAGGCTACAGAGCACTTCCCCTACACCAAGGACCTCAAACTCAGACGTGTCCTGGCTGAGCATGTAACTGACAGGCTAGGCCAGCTGCAAGAAAATCACACAGCCTGCTTTCAGTCTCACTTTTGATAGATTTCCTTCTCTGCACTAAGAAACACAAAGCAGGTGTGATGTACCCCTTCTCAGTGGGGCAGGGGCTGTCCAGGGGGCTCTCATCACCAAGAGTGGGCAGGAAGTAGGCCCACGGCTGCTTTAATCTGCCAGTTTTCAAAAGAAGCTGGAAATCTGGATTTTATGTTGCATTGTTCAATTTTAAAATATAGGTTCAGGCTGGGCGCGGTGGCCCACACCAGTACTTTGGGAGGCTGAGGCAGGCAGATCACCTGAGGTCAGGAGTTCGAGACCAGCCTGGCCAACATAGTGAAACCGTCTCTACTACAAAAAATACCAAAAAATCAGCCAGTTACGGTGGCGCGTGCCTGTAATCCCAGCTACTCAGGAGGCTGAGGCAGGAGAATCGCTTGAACCCGGGAGGCGGAGGTTGCAGTGAACCGAGATCATGCCGCTGCACTCTAGCCTGGGCAACAGAGTGAGACTCCATCTCAAAATATATACATCAATAAAAATAAATTAAATAAATAAATAAATAAAATACAGGTTGAAATTCCATTAAAACCCAGTTCAAGCTGAAATGATCATACTTGCCAGTTCAGTTTGGCCAAAGGGCCACCAGCTTGCGGTCTCTCTGTGTGACCATCCCATCACATCCTTAGAAGCAGAGAATCAGCAAATTTCTTCTGTCAACAGCCTGATAGTATATATTTTGGACTTTTCAGGCTTGATGGTCTCAAAGCAGTCACAGACAGTACATCAACAAATGGGCATGGTTGTGTATTACAAAAGCTTTATTTATGGAAAGTGAAATTTGAATTTCACCTAATTTTCATGTCATGAAATATTTTTCTTTTGTTTTTTTTTTCCAACCACTTAAAAATGCGAAAGCCATTCTTAGCTTGTGGGCCCCACAAAAACAGATGGTGAGTGAGATTTGGCCTCCATGGGCTGTGATTTGGTGGCCCCTGAGCAGGAGGCTACCACCTCTCCTCACCCAGGCCCAGAGCTCCCTGGTCACTTTCCTCCTCCTCTTGGGGAAATGGCAGCCTCTTTCCCTTGGGGCTCCTTTTAGGCTGCTAGGGGAGGCTCCCTTTTCTGTTCTGGGTGAGGACAGCTCTGGCCTGGCCCAGCCCTGCAGGGACTCCAGCCTGGGGTGTCTGGAGGGCCATTCCCTACGTCCTGTTCGCTCACCCCTGCCCTCTGCTTGTAGAAGTCCCCCAGAGACTACAGCAACTTCGACCAGGAGTTCCTGAATGAGAAGGCGCGCCTCTCCTACAGCGACAAGAACCTTATCGACTCCATGGACCAGTCTGCGTTTGCCGGCTTCTCCTTTGTGAATCCCAAATTCGAGCACCTCCTGGAAGACTGAGGTTCCTGGACAGAGTAGGCTAGCCCCGCCCTCGACCCACATCTGACCCCTCCCCATGATAAGCACCAGAAGGACTGTGGTGACTTCTGCTGCTGGCCCTGCCCCTGCCCCCAGAGCGGCCTTGGCTCCTGTCTGGCCAGGCTCTCATGGTACTTCCTCTGTGAACTGTGTGTGAATCTGCTTTTCCTCTGCTCTCGGAGGGAAATTGTAAATCCTGTGTTTCATTACTTGAATGTAGTTATCTATTGAAAATATATATTATATATATAGACATATATATATATAATAGGCTGTATATATTGCTCAGTAGAGAAAAACCATGGGGGACTGGTGACATGTTGATCTTTTTCAAAAAAATATATATACGACAAAAAAAAAAAAAAAGGAGCACAAGCTGTTTGAACCACCAGGTTCTTTTATTTGTGTCTAAATAAACAACAAATGGTACCAACCTGGTTGTCAGGACACATTTGTCCCAGGAAGCTGGTGGCGGCCACTCCCACTTTTGGCAGCACTGGCCCGGAAGCTAACTGCTGGGCCTTCATGCAAATGTGTTTGTATTTATGGGTTTCCTCTGGCCCAGGACCCTGGGCCTAAAGCAGACTTTTCCAGGTGGCTACAGGGAGCCCCAGATGTCTCTGTGGGGTGATGGGGCCAGCTGTAGCTGTCTCTGGAAGGGCAGAGAAGTAGAAGGCATAAGCAGAGGCTTTGAGGCTGGCCCCAGATGAGGGAGGAGAGGAAGAAAATACAGCTCAGGCTTCAGGCATATCTGGATTTAAATCACAGAGTAGCCAAAGGATGTGGGCACGTTACTTGATCATTTTAAGCCTCAGTATTGGGTGGGCGTGGTGGCTCACACCGATAATCCTAGCCCTTTGGGAGGCTGAGGTGGGAGGATTGCCTGAGCCGAGGAGTTTGAGACCAACCTGGACAACATAGCGAGACCCTGTCTCTTTAAAAAAAAAAAAAGAAGGAAAAAAAGGCTCAGTTTCCTCTAAAATGGGCGCAAGGCAAGGAGACCATAGCTGTAACTCCTCATCTCATTACCATTTATCCCTGCCTTTGCCGCAGAGGAGTCTGTGTCTAAGTTCTAGAATCTATATCATAGCAGCTTTTGCCTACCTGGGGAAGGAGACACAGGCAGGGTGGGAGAGAAAGGTGGAAAAATGCTGAGTGACCGGGCCAAGGTTGACAGACGTGCTCCAGTGTGCCTGTCGTGCAGGTGAGGAATGGCTCCAGGAGACCAGGAGGCGCCGGCATCCCCCCTGAGTGTGCTCAGCTGGAGACAGTGAGTCTGCTCTGCCCTCCTCCCCACCGACTCCATGTCTCCCCCTCTCCTGGCTTTTCATTGCTTCCGCCTCCCTCACTACCTCTCCCTCTTTCTGTTCCCGCCCTGCTGTCTCGGGCACCGGTCTCAGGCAGAGCCTGCTCTTCAGACCCTCTGGTCTAGCCCTGGCCCTCTGTCCCTAGAGGGGGGTGAGACACTCCTAGCACCAGATTGGCTGGCCTGGGCAGCCAAGCAGCTGACTTCCAGCAAGTTCATTTTTCTGGGCTTAGGTACAAGTTTCCACAACTGGAGAGGGCGGGATGGTATGGGGCTGGTGCTGGCTCAGGGAGGGGGCTGCAGGGATGGGGGCCAAACTCCCCCCAAAGAGACCAAATGTCCCCTTCTCCCCACCTCCTATCTTAGGAAAACTTCCTCTTGAATTCCTGCTCTGCCTTGGGCCAGCCTGGGTGTCCAGGACAGCAGGGAAAACCTCAGAAGTGCTTGTCCCGTGGGTTCACAGGTGGAGGAACTGGCAGCATGGCATGGGCTCTGTTCTGGGACACTGGGGCTGTAGGAGCCCAGAGGAGGTGCCTGGGGGCCCCCTGTTCCCTGCTTCTGCCACAACACACACATTCCCCAGGAACCCCATGGAGCCATTCAGAGGGAGGTTAGAACAAAAACGTGGTTGGTGTCTGAACTCAGAGCTTCCCAACATCCTCCTGAAGCACCAAAGTGGAGCCTGGCACCTCGAGCCCAGTTTTCTCCAGTGTGGAACGGGGGAATAGCTTGTTTATCAGCCAGAGGCAGTGGAGGGTGGTGGGAAGAACATGGTGCCTGGAATCAGAAGCCTGGGGTTTGAATTCCGCTCTGCCGCCTACATACCATGCACTTGAGTTCTTTCATGGGCCTCAGTTTCCTCATCTGTAAAACCAGACCATTAATCCCCTGCCTCATGGAACTGACTCTGGTGGGCCCTTGTAGGACTGTTGCTGATACTCAGTGGTGCCAGGCAGAGCCCAGGAAAGGACAGGGGCTGTGCCCGTGAGGTCCACCTCAAGCAGCCCAGGACAGGAAGCAGCTGCTAAGGACACTGCCAAATCACCTGGGAGGCTACACCATTCCAGGCCAGTTCCCAGCCATTGGGTGGGTGCCAGGCCTGATCCAGCAGCCTCAGGAAATGCCTCTTATGGCTGGGCCCTGAACCACACTTTTGCTGGGACCTGGGGACCCTGAAGCAGGCAGACTGCCCTCTGCCTCCCACCTGCCAAGTAGGTATTTGAGCAGCAGCCAGCCTGGTCCCCCTGTGCAAGGACCAAACAGAGCTGGGTCCCCCATCAGTGCTGGGCGGAGCGTCATGGGTGCAGGAGGGCCTGAAGGCAGGAGCACGGGCTTGGCTACTAGACAGCCCTGGGTTCGAACTGTGCATGTCCCTGGTTGTGTGACCTCAGTAAATGACTTAATCTTCCAGCACCCTAACTTCCTCTACTGTAAAATGGGGATTGCTATGATGGCTGCTGTGGACTGTGACAATGCCTCTAAGTGCAGGGCATGAGCTCAGCATGCACTAGGTGCATAGGAAACAGCAGCCACTGTGACCCCCTGCTCTGGTGGGATGAAACATGCTCAGGAGAGCAGACCTGTCCACTGCACACTGCACTTCGAGTGCAAGCCCTCTAACTGGACTGCAGGTGGGCAGTTAAATGCACCCACCCATGACCCAGTGGTGCCTTTCAGGCAGAGCTACCTGGGAACTTCACCCAAGGGCCCCAGGAGGCTTGCCAGGAAGTCCACCACTGCATGGATTAATTGGGAAAAACGGGAAGCAAGCAGAAGGCCCAGCAGCCAGGGAACTGGTTAAATACTCCCCTGGCGTGGAAAGTGGTGCAGGGCCAAGTGATCGGCAAAAAGAGCCATTGAGAGAATCAAAGATGCAGCCAGATTCTACCCTGTGGTTCCATGGGCCAGCTCATGAAGGCACCCAAAGTCTCAGGCACAGGGAAGGGCTGCAGAGATGAAGGACGGACGGACGGACGGACGGACGGATGGGTGGGTGAATGAATTAATGAATGAATGAATGGACTGTCCAGACCCCAGGTCCCTTTAAGGCAGTGGCTCTCAAATTCAGCATGTACTGGTCCTGCGTCAAGTTCTAACCAGCGGGTCTCAGTCCTGGCTGTCACTGGAAGCCGATGCCAGGCTGCCCTGGTCTACTTACGTGGTGATCTGCGGAGGGCCCGGGCATCCGTACTTTGAAAGCTGCCCCCTGCGGTCCCACCTGCTCCAAGATCCAGAGCCAGTTGGGGAATCTGCATTTTGCCCAGTCACCCTGGTGAAGCCAGAAAATGCTACTCTGAACAGGCCACACCCTGGAAGGCGAAGTCAACCGCCTGTACGGCCCAGCCGCGGCCCGCAGAGGCCCGAGCACCCGCTCCGCAACCTGCGCGGAAGACCACGGGCGGAGGATTGGTGGCCAGGAAGGGACAGTGCGGAAAGCATGCGGCCCCAGCTGGGCTACAGCGCCCTCTGGCGGCCAGAAGGCTCGCGGGCGCCGCGGAGGCCGCAGACCCCAGTAGGGGAGGACCTCCGTGGAAGGGAGCGCTGGCGTTCCCACTTCATGTCACTACTCCCTGGGGAAATATTTCAACAAAGAGATACTGGGGGACCATTTTGGAGAGGTTCAGAGATGTGGAGGTTACAGCTAGACAGCTCCCTGGTATTTTTAGAATCCCCAGACGGCCCTAAATTCAACCATTCCAACGTCACAGCCACATTCACCCATTTATTATTTATTAATTTATTTAGAGATAGGGTCTTGACCTGTCACCCAGGCTAGGGTGCAGTGGTGCCATCACAGCTCACTGCAGCCTCGACCTCGTGGGCTTCTCAAGCAATCCTCCCACCCTCAGCCTCCCGAGTAGCTAGGACCACAGGCATGTGCCACCCTGCCTGGCTAATTTTGTATTTTTGGTAGAGATGGGGTTTCACCAAGTTACCCAGACAGGTCTCAAATTCCTGAGCTCAAGCAATCCTCCCATCTCGACCTCCCAAAGTGGTGGGATTACGGGCGTGAGCCACCATGCCCATGAGCTCACTGTGCACCTGCTTCTTCCTTGGCCTCCCTCCAAGCTGGATGGGATCTTCAGCTCCCTCCTGCACCCTGACTGTGCCCAGCACATGACCCCGGACGACTACCCTGTGTGATGCCAGAGGCTGGGGAGCTGGTTGTGGTTTCCTGAGTCCTGACCATCCTCCCAGGCACTTTATCTCCTTAGGTTGGGGCAGGGGGAGATACATGCAGCTGAAAATATAAGACCCGGCAGCAAAGAAAGGGAATGGGGACAAAGAAAGGCCCCCAAAGGTGAGAGCCAGGTCTGAGGCAGCACAGCTCAGACCAGGCCAGACGTGTGAGGTTTGGGGCACTCCTTGGGTCTAGTTGTCAGATTGAATCAGCCCTTCACATAACCTCAGTGATTTAAGTCTTCAGAACTTGAATGCCAGCTCTGAAATCAGGCTTCTTAAGTGGGCCTCAGAAGTTTGATATGGTTTTGCTGTGTCCTCACCTAAATCTCATCCTGAACTGTAGTTCCCATAATCCCCAGGTAATCGTGGGAGGGACCCAGTGGGAGGTAATTGAATCATGGGGGTGGTTACCTCCAGGCTGTCCTCATGATAGTCAGTGAGTTCTCACGAGATTGGATGGTTTTATAAGGGGCTTCCCCCACCCCCCCCCCCCCGCCCCGCCCCACTTCACTCTGCACTTCTCCTTGCTGCTGCCACGTGAAGGACGTGTTTGCCTCACCTTCTGCCATGACTGTAAGTTTCCTGCGGCCTCCCCAGCCATGCAGAACTGTGAGTCAATTAAAACTCTTTCCTTTATAAATTATCCAGTCTCAGGTACGTCTTTATTTTATTTATTGTTTTGAGACTGAGTCTCACTCTCACCCAGGCTGGAATGCAATGGCACAATCTTGGCTCACTGCAACCTCCACCTCCCAGGTTCAAGTGATTCTCCTGCCTCAGCCTCCTGAGTAGCTGGGATTACAGGCATCTGCCACCACGCCTGGCTAATTTTTATATTTTTGTAGAGATGGTGTTTCACCATGTGGCCAGGCTGGTCTTGAACTCCTGATCTCAGGTGATCCTCCTGCCTTGGCCTCCCAAAGTGCTGGGATTACAGGCGTGAG